CATGTGAATGTGAATGTGAATGTGAATGTAAATGTGATTGTGAATTTGGATGTGAATGTAAATGTGATTGTGAATTTGAATGTGAATGTATATGTGGATGTGAATGTAAATGTGAATGTGAACGTGAATGTCAATGTCAATGTGCATATGAATGTGCATGCGAATGTGTATGTGAATGTCAATGTCAATGTGAATGTGCATATGAATGTGCATGCGAATGTGTATGTGAATGTGAAAGTGAATGTGCATGTGAATGTGAATGTTAATGTGAATGTGCATGTGAATGTGAATGTGAATTGTGGATGTGAATGTGAACATGAATGTGAAAGTGAATGTGCATGTGAATGTGAATGTGAATTTGGATGTGAATGTAAATGTGATTGTGAATGTGATTGTGAATGTGCATGCGAATGTGAATGTGAATGTGCATGTGAATGTGCATGCGAATGTGAATGTGAATGTGAATGTGAATGTGAATGTGAATGTTAATGTGAATGTATATGTGAGTGTAATTAAGATTGTATGAGTATGAATGTGAGTATAAGATTATGGGTGTGAAAGAGTGTGTGTGTGCTACGGCTTCACAGCCGCGTTTTATTTTTCCGTCGCCAAAAAACGTCGGTAACGCCTTATTTACCCGGCTGGAATGGTTTTTGCCCATTTGAGACACTATATATATATATATAATATAATTAATAGGCCCGAATGAGGGTTTGCCCATTTGTAGACCCTACTAGAGTGAGTACCCTTTTTTGAATATTTTATTTATTCTTCTATTTAAAAGAAAAAGAACCATACTCTTGTATACCCCAGCAGAGTGCAGACCCACCCTCAGAGCCTGAGAGTCTGAGAATAATTGAGAGTGTATTTTTTTTTAAATTTTGAATACTTGCAGTCCGTAAATATTAAATAACCAGTGGTGGTTGGGAAATATTTAACTATATACATAAATATTGTGTCGGTTGTACAACCCATGTTGTACTCTAACACTGGTACCTGTTGTCCTGGACCGTTGTCTGAGATTCTAGACTGCAGCCTGCTATCTCATTGGCTGACAAATGAGTCTTCGGTCAGATACTATGGGTATCTAACGGTATTTCTCACGTATTCCATAGTATTTTAATTAGTGGCCTGATCAAATTTGTAGCACCTACAGTTGACAAATACCATCGAATATTACAACCTTGTACAACTTTTGCGCGGGTTTCAGAAATCTATAAGTTCCAATTGGAAGAGAACTATTGTATTTCTGGAAAAGTTCACAAACGGTTGTACAGAAATCTAAAGTGAAAATCAGTAAACAAGCAAATAATGAACACAGCACGCAAATGTGCACAAAGAACGTCGCAGTTTGTGATTCACAAGCACTCGTACGTCAGCGACAAAGTGGTACGATGGCTCCCTCGCATAGTAACCTCAAACGATATGCAAAAAACTACAAGGATTTTCTGAAATACTGGCAACCAGACTATGATTGGGACGCGTACGAGAATCTGTGAACATTCCGCATGAAATCACAATACAGATATTACCGCAGGATATATTTAAATACTTCTGTCTACTTGCATATGGTACAGGGAATCCTGGCCCTGATGATCACCCTACTCTACGTAGGAAGTCAGGACTAAGCTTTCTGAAGAAGTCTATCTCATACTATATGCCGCGCCTGGCTATTGATTGGGATCCAGTAGATATGAAGGGGAATCCTACGAGATCAAAGGATGTGAATGACTTATTGAAAACCATTGAGAGGGCACAGCTAAGGGGTGAGGGCAAGGCTGATGCTGCTAAACGTCCTATAGAGTACGATGAATTTCGTCAAATTCTTGCTATCAATTAAGAGACCAGGGATTTTCATATTAGTGGTCTGCATGCTCTTTGGACTTTGGCTTTTCAGCTTATATTTCGAGTGGATGATGTGACAAATATAAAATTTGAGGATTTGAACCCCAATGACAAGAATCCGGAGCAACTTTTTGTGACTTTAGTTCGCAGTAAGAATCTCAGAGAGAAGGGTCAGGTAGCCACACAAGTCATACTTGGCTCTATGGACTCTTACTTTTGCGCTCTTAGTGCACTGGCCGCTCACCTTGTAGAACGCATGCTAGAGAGAACTAATACGCATCAGTTGGATTTGGGATATATGTGCACTCTGAATGGTACTGTGGGTCGGAATGACAAATTGAAACCAGATGTGGCTAGGAGAGCGACTGCTAAAATTGTACGGCTAAACAAATTTGTGGGTAAAGGCGAAGTCGACGAAATCGGCACGCATAGTCTCAGAAAATGCTCGTGCACATATGCTCAGAGACGTGGACGCTCAAAAGATGATGCAGATGGTAGAGGCAGATGGACCAGGACAAGAACAAAGGGTCAGAGAAAGAAGAAGTCAAATCGTCAGGTCGATAGATACTCCAGCTCCTTGATGCCATATTCTGATGCTAAAGTATCGGAGGCCTTATGTGGTCCCCAAGTTCAATCTTAACGATGAGGACTTAAAGTTGGGTATACCAGGTGTGTGGGACCTACCTGGCTTTCATATCCAGCACAAGAGAATATTGTCTATTGTTGCACTTTATCTTGGTGTAACTGAGTCCCTTTTGATACTAGTAGAGTACCACAAATATTGCGACGATGTGATAAGACATTTGTTCCCGGATATAAGTGATGAGAATAAGAGGTTGGTAATTTTGCGACGACCTGCAGTTGTGATTCGTGCTGGAGATGATGGTTTCAGAGTCCAAGAAGTTGAAGGTGCTGACCATAACTTTAATAGTAATCCTAACAATCTCAACCTGCACGATATGCAGAACTAGATGATAGCTTTAGGCGCAGATATTACCCACTTGAAGCGTATGATCGAGGATATTGAAATGAAAATTGATCAACATCCCAATGTGTTCAAGAATAATCACAGAAAGCTAAGGCAGGATATGATGGGCGAGTTTAATAGACTACGACTTCCAGTAGAAGCCTGTACGAATTTCCAGCATTGCAATAATGCTGCAGGAAACGCTCGCCCAGCAAACGCCCAGAATGAAGCAGGTGACAACATGCAGCACAATGACATGCATCAGTCCCACGATTCTCGCGAAGCCTGTCTTAACAAATGAATCAGAATTCTGTGGCAACTATGGCAGGAGTATGACGCGGGATTTTATGGGAGCAAACCTGCTCGCTTGTTTACTGATAGTGAGAGAGGTAGAGTGAAGTGCACTTATAGTTTGCGCTATGTTTTTTTAGGACTATGGAGAAGCTGATCGCCAGAGGTATCAGCGCTCAAATAGCTATAGATAAAATTCAGGATGCGTATGGTGCAGCTTTATCGGTCACAGTGATATACAGAGCATGATGCGTATTTGCTCTATCGAACCGTGGATAATCGTGCTGTTGGAGGTTGGGCCTGATCGTACATCGTCTTCTACTGTTGCGCTGCTTGTATATTGGCTGTAACTGTTTCAGAAACCTCTGGGTCCTTGAGTTCTGTATGTAGGCTATCTACTCAGCTTGACTCTCTACAGTTGTATTGAACCTCTGTATATTTTTCTTCCGTTCAGCTGCCGCTGTTACAAAGTGTAGTGGTAGCTTCATAAAGATGTTGTATCCATCGACGTATTTGCACCATCTTTGTAGCAGTAATTTGGATTGTTCAGCTTTACTTACACCCGTCATTGTAATCTTGCGAGTCAATCGTTCGTATAGATATCATTCAGCAGTTGTTTTAACTCGACAGAGCTATACATGGTAATTCTTGTGGCTTAGCTAAATATGAATGATCATGGATCGTGGGGTGCGTTGTCTGTTGTATACTGTCCTCGGCATGTTTGATATCCGTATCTTCGAATAGAGGGCGCACATTCGCGATTCCATTTCGTACTTCATCATCGTCTGGGACTATGTAGTCATCAGGTCGAGGATTAAGCATTCCGGGATGTCTAGGGTCATGGATACCGCTGTACGGATATACACGGAAGGCCTCGCCAGTTAACTCTGTATATAACATAGCACATTTGTCTACCGTCTGTAAGTCGAAGTGCCTGACATCAGGTGCCTCATTCCTCCCAATATCTTGTGTATAACTCCGCTTCAATCTGAAGTACGAATGTACATCATCACAGAGGGCGGCACTAGTGATTCGGTAGTTCCTAGAAACCGTCTGATGAACAGTGAATTCTACACTATTAGTACCTCTCGCGCATTTGTATAACTTCAAGTTATCTGTATTTACAGCAGTACAGTGATAGAGATCTACACCTGGTGAATCAGAAATAAATACATTCTCTATGTTAGAAAAGATTACACCGAATTGTTTGCGTACATTTTCGTTGAATAGTACTTCCCTCGTTTGCTTATTCTGCTTGTCCTTTAACCTTTCATACACCGCAGATATACGTTCAAACAAGATCTGCGGGCTAGGAATATGTCGCCTAACTCTCTTGCGAATGTATCTTCTACCCCTTGTTTATTTTGGAGTTTTTTCTCGTACGTCGTCCCCTGCTGGAGTAGTACTGCTGTCAGCTTTGCTGTCTATAATGTTATCTACAAATAGAGCGTCTCGGAACAATTGCCAGATTTTCAGCGATACCCGTGTCTTTTAGAAATCTTCACAAAATCCATTAAGTGAAATGCATCCTTCAACAATGCCTCCATACACGTACAATATCGGGTTCGTCGGTTTGTTCTGCCATATGTGGGAAAGCCTGCTCAAACGGTTGGTACATCTCGCCTGTAAGCGACTTTCCTCCTCTACCTCGTCATCACCTTCTTCGTCTTTGTTCTCATCAAAGTCTGAATCACTGTCTGAGATCAACTCATCACGTCCGCCTATCGTGGCACCGTCTATATCTACTAGGTCTAAGCACAAGGCTGAGCTACGCGTGATCATTGCCATACTGACAGGCATACGCACGGAATTCGTGATATTCTATTCTTGTAGTACTTGATCGGTTGTGCGTGTCACATATTGTGCATGCATACATGCGTAAAGTTGGTTGTGATTCTGATCGAAGTCCATCTAACAGCAGTCTCTGTTTGTAGGCTTTTGGCCGTCCTCTAATAGTTTGTTTGCGTCCACCACCTTTTGGGCGCGACCCTCCAGAGTTACTCTTGTAGTACTTGATCGTTTGTGCGTGTCACGTATTGTGCATGCATGCCTGCGTAAAGTTGATTGTAATTCTGGTCGAAGCCCATCTAACAGCAGTCCCTGTTTGTAGGCTTTGGCCGTCGTCTAATTGTTTGTTTGAGTCCACCACGTTTTTGGGCGCGAATCCTCAGAACTATTCTTGTAGTACTTCTTACTTCGGTCTTCACGCGGCATAATACTGCACACTGTGTTACCTTTACTATGTGTAAAGTGTATGAGGAATTGGTTGTGTGAACTTCTTGGTATGTTGTTTAGTTGTTGTTTTGTTGCTGAAACTGAAGAGTCCCCCACACCAGACTGCTCTTAGACTGAGGTTTCCGCCCTCAGTCTGGTGTTTTCCTTCCTTTCTTCTTTCAAAAAATAATCAAAATAGCTCGCTAGCGCTCGCTCCCGATATATTCAAAAAAAAATCCACAAATCAGGGGTTCTCTCTACAACGACAGAAATGAAAACAAAGAGCGGATTCTATGCAGAGGGCCGTGGCAAAAAACAGAATCCTACTTAGTTCGGCTCACTCTCTCCGAGATAGTTTATTTTACAAATCATATTATTTTATTGATAATGTAAACTTCGATGGATATTCTATGTTTTAAACTATGTTATATAAACTAAGATACAATTTAAGTCAGTTAGGATTTAGCAGTGGTAGCTTGTGTAAGAATGATCGGGACTGCCTCTTGGTAAGAGCCTTAATATCCTCGATCACACAGGACGTACCTCTACCTGTTCTTTATTGAATAATTTTCACTAGAAATACTAAGTATTCGTGACCACATGTCTAGTTTGTAGATAGACATAAGAACGTAAGTCAAGTTAAAACATTAGCTAATATAAATAAAGTTCCATCTGAAGAAAAGTTAAAAAATGAAAAAGACTTATTGGATTTTGGAGATTGGCGGGAAGACCAAAACCTGTAAGTAGTAGTTCAGAAATTATAAAATTTAGTTTATAATATCCTATATCTACTATCGTCTCAAATAGGTCCAAGTTAAT